TTCTTTGATTTCTGGCGTTTACACATTTCTTTCCGGGTCCCGCCCAGGGACCTAAGGTTAGAAATGGCGTCATGACACTTTCCACTGACAAAAAAAAAAAAAAGAAAAAGATTACATAGATAAAGCCCTTCGTAAGGTGTGGGCTGTACTTGTCAGAACAATTTTCTGTATCTCCTTGAGGCATGGACTTCCAGGAATCCCTTCAATTAGTCTACTGGAATCTTTTCCAACCAGTCCTAGGGCTCCAACTACAACAGGGATTGTTGATGTTCCCATATGCCACATTTTCGCGATTTCTATTTCAAGGTCCTTGTACTTTGACAACTTTTTGAATATCTTCAAAGATACATTGCAGTCGGCAGGGACTGCTATATCAATAAGGAGGCACCGTTTTTGTTTGTGGTCTTTAATAACAATATCTGGGCGGTTGGCCTTGATTGTTCTGTCAGTGTATATTGTGTAGTCCCATAGAAATGTAACAGGTTCTATCTCCGTAACCGGGTCTGGGTGGTGTTCATACCAGTTTCTTTCAGTTTTCTTCCCGTAGAAGTTGCAGATTTTCCAGTGCAGATATTGGCCCACTCTGTCATGTCGGGTTTTATATTCAGTGGGTGCCAACACCGTACAACCTGATACAAGATGATCTATCGTTTCTGGATATTTATCACAGAATCTGCATTTTGGGCTGACACAATATTTTAGTATATGTGCTTTGATAATTCTTAGTTAGCAAGCATTGGTCCTGCGCAGCAAGGATAAACTTCAGTTTTCGCTTTCAACCCTGAACTACGTAGCCACTGATGGGTACGTGTTTTGTCTACGTCAGCTTGTTTGGTACGGGCAGAGTATTGCCATGCCGGTTTATGCCAAGCTTCTGTTTATCTTGCCATCGTCTTTCTGTTTTTGGTCTGTATTATTCGTCTTAGCTATCTATTTTATTATTATTATTATTTATTATTATTATTATTATTATTATTTATTATTTTTTTTTTTTTTTTTTTTTTTTTATTATTTCTTTGACAAATTTCTTGGCGTTTACACAATTTCTTTCGGGTCAATGTGTTGTTTTGTTCCATTTTTATAATTCCAAGTGCACCTATTACCACTGGTATTATTCTAATTATTATTAATTACATTCATGGCGTTTACATTATTTCTTCCGGGTCCACTGACAAAAAAAAAAAAAAAAAAAAAAAAATCATAGATAAAGCCCTTCGTAAAGTGTGGGCTGTACTTGTCAGAACAATTTTTGTATCTCCTTGAGGCATGGATTTCCAGGAATCCCTTCAATTAGTCTCCTGCAATCTTTTCCAACCAGTCCTAGGGCTCCAACTACAAAAGGGATTGTTGATGTTCCCATACGCCACATTTTATTTCATTGGGTTTCTGTTGTATACAGATTTCCTTCCGGGTCCCTGACACAGACCTAAGCTCAGAAATGCCTTCATGACACCTTCCACTGATCATTGCTTGTAAAATAAAATATTTTAATTATTATTTCCTTCGTTTTCTGTTGCATACAGATTTGCTTCCGGGGCCCAACCAGAAACCTAAGGTCAATAATAGCTTCATGACATTTTTCCACTGATCATTGTTTTTAAAAAAAAACCAAAAAACAACAGAAAAAAAATAAACACTAATATCGCACACATTTTATATAGATAAAGGCCTTCATAATGTGTGAGCTGTACAGAGTAGAGTACAATTTTTGTATTTCTTTAAGGCATAATGACTTTGTCGGAAACATTTTGAATCAGTCCGAGGGCTCCAACTACAAATGAAATTATTGATGTCCTCATGTGCCACATTTTTTAGATATCCACTTCAAGATCTTTATATTTTGATAGATTTTTGAAGATCTTCAGATACAGGAATCTCTCGAGTAATGCACATTCGATTAGTGCGCTAAAATTTGTATATATCAAAATTCGATTAGTGCATACATAATAATCGGTTAGTGCAGTAAAAGATTCTTCAGACTAACCATTTTTTTTATAATTACCGATTAATTGAAAATTTTCTAAAATTTAAAAATGTTTAACTATTTTGTTTGTCAAGTATTACGTTAAGTAATCGCAGTAGTGTTTTAAAAATGGTCGGTTATAAATAGATACATTTTATGATATAAGCCGATAATAAAAATACGTATTTGAATATTTGTCTCTATTAAAATTCTTTGAATATTTTGATTTTTTTCATGTTTATTTTAAGATTCTTAAAAGGAAATTTCTGATTTTTTTATTTAAAAAAATGGACGATTTAATTAGATCCAGAATTTACAGAAATATCGAAATATAAAAGATGTTGCATTTACTTGGGAATGATTATAAATAAAATTTTCAGGTTAACAAATTTATTAATATGATATTTCCAAAAATAGAAAATATGTACCTATATTATAATTAAAAGTACACAAATTAGAAATTAATTGTGAATGAGACTAAAATTTGAAGTACAAATTACATCATTTCCTAGAAGTTGATTAATGCGTTTTCGATTAGTGCGTTTCTTTTAATGTAGACATTAGTCGCACTAATCGAGGGATTCCTGTACATTAAAATCAGCAGAAACTGTCGGGTCAATAAGAAAGCATATTCTGATTTTGATGTCTTTGATGATGATGTCTGGGTGAATAGCTTTGATTGTTTTTTTCTGTAAAGTCTTAGATACTATCTCCGTATTCGGGTCTGGGGGATGTTCAGATTAGTTTCTTACAGTTTCATTCCATTGCAGACAATGGCCCACCCAATCTAAACTAAAGACATAAGTATTCCACGCTGGATATCACCCCGATATAAAAATATTTCAAGAGAGTTATTATTATTATTATTATTATTATTATTATTCATGAAGAATTTCATCAAAGAAGGAGAAGAGACTTTAGTCAAGAGGATGATGATTATAATATGTACGGAATATTTGAGCAACGATGACGTTTGAAAGAGAAGGAAAACAATGAGGACACATACTCTAAACCCCGTCCTGATGATGTGTCGGCTTGACGTGGTAGGACGGCTTGCGTGCCTTAGCGACCCGCAGAGCTATGTGGGCGAGGACATCGGCGCTTAGCAGGTTCAACTAACCAAAAATTCTGTGGGGTAGGAGCAAGACGAAAGACACACACTGGTCCTTCAGATTGGGGGTTGTGCCATAAGCTAACAACCTACTCATTTAAAAAAAAAAAACTAGCTTGTTACAGAAACCTCAACGATATCTTCAAACAACGACAAGCCTGAAGAAGAATCCTCCAAAGTAGAGTGTATGATCCATGCTGATAAAAATTCCCCAAGAAGGCAGCCAGCACTATATGTGCCGAGCTGAAGAGGATCGCCCGTAACCGCGTCCGTTGGAGAGGGTGTTGTTGGGGCCCTATGTACCCCAAGGAATTAAGAGGCATAATGTTGATAATTTGAATCTGAAAAAATCATCTGAAAATGTTGGAATACTTAAGGAGAAAGAGGCTTGGAGATATTGCCACTCAAAGGACTTAGTGAAAGAAAAAACAACGAATAAACTAATGAACTGGTGTAAACGGTCGGGAAGAATAGTTAATCAACTAAGAGCTAGAAAGGAAGGAAAGATGTAAATATTTATAATCCCCAAAGTCGGGAAGAGACACTCACTATATATATATATATATATATATATATATATAGATAGATAGATAGATAGATAGATAGAGAGAGAGAGAGAGAGAGAGAGAGACTGACTGTGTAACAGCAAAATTGTCCAAATCGTCCAAAAGCAAAATTTTCTATTTCTTAGATTCAGCTTTGAACCGTTGTATCTTAGAAATGATTAAACATATCTTACTGGAATTCTCCTTGTGGTTTTTATAACTCTATTGGATTCCACTTTGAGCAATAAGAATGTACAATTACTCTTAGCTTAACAGAAGTATCGTGGCGAAATAGATCCTAAACGAAAATGGCATGTTAATCGGAAGGATTGGAAGCTCATGAAGCACTGAAATAAATATATATAATTCCAGGATTATCTTCCAATATATATTTCTGTACCCAAGTAAAAAGCTGCCCCACAGGTTTCACAAACGATTTCTTTTTCAAGTGTTTTTCACTGCTTTTTGGATTGTCATAGCTGCAAACCCTCTCTGACGTGCCAAACATCTTATGAATTGACATGGATCTTTTTCTAATTGAACTCTTTATCTCTAATTTGAAATGATGATCCCTCTTCTTGTTGTGACTTCCTGATCCAATTTACCTCTCTAATGTTCCCTCTTTTTTAAACTTATTCACCGTTCTCTTGATGGTTCTTGAGTGGACTTTGAAGATGGAAAGCAGAGTATGAATGTTGGTATCATTATTAATGGCCTGAATGATCTTTTTTCCTCTCACCATTGTTCATTTAGGAAGACAGTGGAGCTGGTAGAAAAGGATTTTAACCTGTTCTCTTTCTCAAAGGGTTTTTTCAGTGATTCTTACGACAAATGATGTCATGATGGCTAAAAATCACATCTGAAAATCTAAAAAAAAAAAAAAAAAAAATCAGTAGGTTTAGTGAATTTTACATATTAAATATTTTGTGGGATGGACTTTGGAATTTTTCAAAAACCTCGAGATGCATAATAGGAGAACTAGACCAGATATTCAATGCAGGGACGAATCGCAGATTTGTAAAGGCGCAAGTTATACTGTGCCGAGTAAAACTTCTGGCACGGCCCAGTGACCCAACTTTCCATGCAGTAGATGTAGCTATTGATTCGATGTAGTCGTTTCTCTTCAAGTCAGTTGAAAACATGTAGCCAAGCAGAAGCTGTGAGTCTAGCATCAGCCATTTTGATGGTGGACAGGAAAGTTTCTATGTGAGAGAATTTTTTTTTTTTGGAGGCATTAAATTTAGAAGCAATTTGTTTTGTTATATGATAGTTTTAAAACATATTAGACCAAACCATGAATTTTACGACAATTCATCATTCCAAATACTATATCCTTTAAGAAAGTATCCTAGATACTATCTTATTTTTAAACTTTTTCAAG